AAAGACCCCTACGCGCAAGCGAATTATTGAAATGAAATTAAACCATATGTTAGTCCCGAAATGACCTAGTTTGTGTCGAGTGGACGTTAAACCCCATTTCTCTCTCTCTCTTCGACCATTAAACCACACATATATTCCACAGAATTGTGACCTGTTACTAGATGAAATATTGGACTTATTTGATGATTTCATGGAAAGGCATGCATGTGATAGTTTCTGTAATCTAACTTGTATATTGGTACAAGAAACTCACTGAGTAATATATTGAAAAAACTCTCAGACTAACATCCCTCGCGTTGTTTTAATATATTACTTCATGTCTCGCTCTCAACCATTTAACCACACATAATAGAATCATGTCCTGTGGATTCCAATTACCGATACTAAAAGCCATTGAAACAACTCAAATATATGAAAATTTCTTAAAATAATTGTTTTGTTTGAATGTTTTTTCAGATTTTGGGCCATTCACAACGATCCAAGTTGTCAAACAGATTCCTGTCAGAGATATTTTGAGAATTTTGATAGATCCACCTGCCATTATGATACTTGTTGGCATGAACTATTTTATCCGTTGAGTAGTTCGTACGAGGCCGATACCCACATGTACGTTCTTGGGTTTACGTTAGTTAGTGTTGTATTTATAGTCGGATATTATATGGTAGGACAGAAAAATAAATTAGTGTACGGAATTAGTAAAGACAATTCTCTAGGTAATATAATTAATACCTTTCCTACCGAATGTTGTACATAATAATTATTAGTGTACAGAATTAGTAAAGACAATTCTCTAGGTGATATAATTAATACCTTTCCTACTGAATGTTGTACATAATAATTGTTAGTGTACGGAATTAGTAAATTAATACGTTTCCTACCGAATGTACATAATAATTATTTGGTTGAGTTTTTTAATGGCTGGTGTGTACAGGTCTCTATAGTTAAAGATCCATTATGTAAGAGATAATTCTGCCTATTGCGTGTTTTTATTTTGGCTTCAAATGTTATATAAACTATTATTTAGACATTTATTCACATGACAAGCCAATGATCAACTCTCTAGAGCATTGGATGGCTGAGATTTAAACAGATTTAAACATTCCCGAGATTTAAAAATTTAACGATAAAAGTTAAAGAAGCATTATGGGAGATTAGATAAAGAGCTGACAGTTCTTTTTATAATAGTTAAAAACTGGATAATATAAACCAAATATGCTGAAAATTCCAGTCAAATTTCTTCACTCTAAGCCAAGAAAACCTAATTTTAACATCACCGAGGCCTTGATCATCTTTGTTACCCCTGCCACGATAATTAACAAAGTCTTGATTATCAATTTTTGCGTTTAATCATCAAGGAGTGTTGAACAGCAGATCGGATTCAAATCCAATGAAAATCGGACATATAAGATGGCATCGAGAGTCTTTTCATGTTAATAAATATCTAATTAATAGTTTATATAACATTTCAGGCCTAAAGAAAGACCTGCAATAGACAAATTTAGCTCTTAAATAATGCATCTTAATACATGTCAAAGGAAATCTGATATTGTTTAAAACCAAAAGAAAAAAATTATGCAGTGATATATGAATGAATGTATGAATAATTCAGATTAAGCTAATCTGTATCTAACCTGTTGTTTATGATAATTAATATGTAGGTCTTATTGGTAAAGGGGGTTTGGGTGGCTGAATGGTTAGCACGTGCGCGCTGTATCATAAGGCCTGTCATTGAGTCAACTGGCGTGGTTTCGAATCCCCAGTTGTACGTGACAGGGAGTAGGGTCGCCTGTCCAACCTCATGGGTTTTCCCCCGGGTGCTCCGGTTTCCTCCCACTGCTAAAGACCCCTACGCGTAAACGAATTGTTGAAATAAAATTAAACCATATGTAAGTCCCGAAATGACCTAGTTTGTGTCGAGCGGACGTTAAACCCCATTTCCTTCTCTCTCTTATTGGTAATACATCTCGTAATTACCAAATTTTCAAGTAAAAGCCCTGGGGAGCTATTAATGATAACTTACAACTAAAACTTTTAAGAATTCAATATTTTCATTGGCTGAGAATCCTAGTACAAATTTTCACTTTTAGCCAATGAGAGAAAAATCTGATTAAAATACAAATCTATATTTCGGTTTGTTTTTGTTTTTTTTTTGGGGGGGGGGGTATACGTTCGATGGTCTCTAGTAGTACATGAAGATCTGACCAGTTGTAGTTTGACCCTATGACGTCGGACATTTAATTAACCAATCAGCGTTGATGTTTCTAGTAGTATACCCACAGTTTCGTGCATCGCACGCCAAGAACTCATCCTAACAGACAATTTCATTGGCTAATCCCTCATATCATCCAGAACACAGGTTAAATAACAACTCTTCCAGATCCTAGTTTAGTAAAGACAAGTAAAACCAAACTTTGAACTATAAAAAACGAAACGAAATAGGATCTGTGTTTTAATCAGATTAATGAAAGAAGGCAGCCTTCTTAAAACAGTTTAATTTCAAATTTTGTGAATAAGGCCCCTATTTTCAACCTACAAGAGAAATAAAAAAATGAAGGTCATTTTGGGACTAACACATAGTTTTAATTTTATTTCAATAATTCGCTTGCGTGTAGGGTCGTTAGCTGTGGGAGGAAACCAGAGGACCCGGAGAAAACCCACGAGGTTTGACAGGCGACCCCTACTCCTTGACTAACCTACAAGAGTTTCAGGTATATTTGTGTGCTACATGGATTTGGTAATTTCTTGTTAATGAATGATGTTTTATAAATTATAAATGACACTTCGACTATGTTTTTGTTTTATTAGATGTATATGTATTGTTTTATGTCAATAATATTAGTTAAATTATTTTCCGTCCATCTATATGTATGTATTCAATGTCCATTTCATATCATTATTAAACTATATATTTTTATTTTTTATATTAAAAACATCTGTTGTTTTTATAAATGTGTTTTCCTTTTTATACGCCAACATTGAAATGTGGTCGTATATTGTCGTTGCCCCCGTCCGTCCATCCGCTGGTCTGTCCGTCCGATAATTATTGCCAGAGTTATGGCCCTTGATCACTTTGAAATATCTTGTGACGCTCTAGAGGCTTATGTTATCATCCGATTCACTTCAGATTGATACACAAGAGTTTAAGGTCTTGAGACAAACAACTATATTGATTTTCAATGAATTGGCTAAACAAATTCTAATGATTTTCTGATAATTACTGAATGAGTTGTTACTCTTAATCAGATTTTAGTGTATTATAAATGTTTCATTACTGCCTGGCAACCTATCTTTGTAGGAATATTAGTCTGGATGCATGGTCAACATTTGATAATAATAGGTCATTGGCTAGATTATCTGGTCTTTTACATTATCATAAACAAAGTCTAAGGGAGGTAACTAGTCCTAAAACAAGATGTTGACGCCTATGTAATTAATTTAAGAATGCCATTTCAAGAAATCCATTTGATTATGGGTAGGGGTCTTTAGCAGTGGGAGGAAACAGGAAGACCAGGAGAAAACACACAAGGTTGGACAGGCGACCCTATTCCTAGTCGCCTAAAAGCGGGGAATCGAAAGGCCACTTAGTCCGGACGTCAGGGCCGAGAACCCAATTTTGTTTGATATATGTTTCTCGGTGGATTATTGTTGGTTAGGGTCCCCTTGATTTTTCCAGGGTGGGTGTGGTCGTGTCACCCTTAGGGAAAAGTTAAATATTCAAGATAGCGGCCAAAAATGGCGGGAAAAATACAAAAAATCATTTTTCGCCATCCTAGGCCATGTAATATATCATTTTGTAGGTTTTCGGGATCGCTGAACACGAAATTGGGCATATTTTTAACACCGACCTATTCCGACAAAGATATTCAAAATGGTGGCGGAAATACACCACATACCATAGATAGATAGGAATGGGGTTTAACGTCCACTCAACTCAAACTAGGTCATTTTGGGACTGACACATGGTTTAATTTTATTTCTATAATTTGCTTGTACGGAGTGAGCTTTAGCAGTGGCAGGACAAGTACAAGCAAAGAATCTAAACCACACACCTTGACTCCATGACGGACCTTGTGATCCAACGTGCAAGCGTGAACCATTCGGCCGCAAAGCTGGAAAAATCTTGTGGAACGGTCTCGGCCCTCCTGGTTAGTGAAAATGAAATGGGGTTTAGCGTCCTACTTTTCTGCATTGACTTTACTAAAGAAGATGGGCATATGTCATACAGCTTGCTATGAGGGAAATTTTGTCCCTACAGCAGCGCTACGGCCTACTCTTATATCGAATTCCAACTGCCAAGGAATCTTTTACATGCACGCCAATGTGTACATGGGACCTTGGTTTTTCATCCCATCTTAATGACTACACAGCTGTCCTTGTCAGGCCCTCCCGTCCTGCATCACTGACAAGGGGAAACCGCACAATAAATTACCGACAAACTTTCTCGGCCAAAACCGAGAGTGAACCCTCCGCCTCCAGACTAGCGAGCCAGCATCTTACTCACAGAGAGAGAGAGAGAGAGCGAGAGAAATGGGGTTTAACGTCTGCTCGACACAAACTAGGTCATTTCGGGACTAACACATGGTTTAATTTTATTTCAATAATTCGCTTGCGTGTAGGGGTCTTTAGCAGTGGGAGGAAACCTAAGGACCCGAAGAAAACCCACGAGGTTGTACAGGCGACCCTACTACTTGTCACGTAAAACCAGGGATTCGAAACCATGCCAGCTGACTCAATGACAGGCCTTGTGATACAGCACGCACCTGCTAACCATTCGGCCATCCACCCCCCCTCTTACTCACAGAGCCACAGTGGCTTCCCTCCTGGTTAGTGTGCCAGAGCCATACTCACATAGCCATCATGGCTACCCAAAATGTATCAAGATAATCTGAAAAGAATTGTATAATTTATAAAGCGCTGAATATCCAACAAACTAGTTGCTCAAGAGCGCTCACCACTGGCTCCTGAAAATGTATGAAAATAATAAGACAAGAATTGTGTAATTTTCAACAGATTTATTTAGATGTCTCTAGTAAGAGTACAAATGTTAACACCTAATGACTTCACATTGTACTTTCCGCCTTACAGAAACATATTTCAATAGATTAAGTCTTCTAATTTTTCTTCCAATCCAATTTTTAGAATGATAAAAAAAGAAAAGACCTTAAATTTTTCTCCAACCAATCTACATCATATTTTTCATTTCCTATCAAAAAAATTATTAATGTACAGAATAAACTGAATAGTGATGCTGACCCTCCTAATAATCTTTATTCTCGCAAGATGCCTAGAACGACAAAGTGTTACATTTTTTGATAGGAAATTAAATGGGTTGTATTTTTTTTTTTTTACATCTCTTGGTAAAACCTCATCTTCGACAAAAGTATTTTTCTATTCTTCTTGATGTTAAATTGTACATAAACATTCACAGTTATATTTCAATTCTGAACAAAAAAAAATTGAAAGTAGCACATGACACTGGATATAATAATAATTATACAAGACCAAATATTTTTTTTACCACTCAAGTAAATTACATGTGTCTATTTATTTACATGCCAAGAAAAAAAAAAAAATGAAATTTTACGCTCTGATAATAAGCACAAAATTAAACTTATTCCACATATACAACAAATTCTTTGCACCACTTTGTAACAGAAATAAATTTCCAAAATTCTATCATTCAATCCTCTTTATTTACAAAAAACGAAAATAACAAGACGTTAGATCGATCACATTCACACTAAAAATAATAAACGGCACATGTGGACACCACACAGGTTCGATTTCATCAAGTCTTTCTATCAATGTACAAACAAGAAAAGAAAAAAAAACTAACATGCCACTTAAGGACGCGACACAGACATCAAAATGTCATTTTATTTTGTCTCTAAATTATACAGAGCACACACACAGTTCTCTTCGGAAATACGTAAGGGCTTCTTGTTTAATAAACTGGGGCGTTTCACAAAATATTAACTAAGATAAAATCCAAATTTTAGTAATTTGATTGGATAATATTAGATTGATTATAGTGCTTAACCAATCAAAATTGAAGTATCTACTAAAATTTGGATTTAATCTTTAGGTTAAGATAATTCTCAAAGAATGTTTTTAAATTTATCTTGCAAGACATGATATGTCAAATGTTTAACTTCTTGATGCATTCCTTGGTAATTAACCCCAAAGCAATTTACAAGTTTAAAATTAATTATTTCTACACTTTGAAATATACTTTTCATTAGCAATATTTAAGTACCTTAAAATTAAACTATCCACTTTCATATAAGCATTTTTTTGGAAGATTAAAAATAATAATTCTCTACGAGTCTGGGCTTTCATTTCAAAATTTTGCTAGAATATAAAATTCTTGACCTTATTTGTTTATCAGGGATTAGCAAGATATTATTTTCAAAAGAAAGTGGAAATTTTGAGCATCATCCTAATCCGATTATACATTTTCAGTGTTTTTAGGAAAGAAAACTATAAATCTAAATGTAATTTTTTGTGTGTTTTAGGTTTAAATTTGATGAAATTCTAAACTTGTAAATACCTTGCAAATATTCTTGAAATGAGAGCCCTACCATGAAATTCAAATTCAATGTTTAATTATGAGCCTTGAGTTAAATTAGAAACTCTTTAATTAATAGCTATTAGTCTGATTCATTACAAAAATTTTATTAACTAATAAAATCTTTAAATAAAACTAAAGGAATTTCTTTAAAATTTAGATTTAAAATCAAGTCAAATATCTCGCGCAGTTGATTTGTTTCGAATATTACAGACCTTTATTAAAACATCCAATTATAAAATAACTCTTCTCAAGACAAATATGTGTAGTTTATTGGTCGAGTGCCAGACATTAAGTAATATATTGATATCACACAAGTGCTATATCTATATATTACACAATGTCTTGCACGAGACCATTAAACAACTTAAAATACAGACAATATCTAGCACGAGCATTTCAATGAAATACGCAGGTCTATTATTTCTACTAGTATAAATAATGTACACTTGGCACATTGTCAGTACCATTATTTGAAATAATGGTACACCAACATCAAAGAATGACGTCACATCTGTATTTTATGAAGCTATAATGTTATTATACTATTGGAATAAAACAATTTTTTAAAATATATCTTTGTTTTTTTCGTAGAATAATCATACCTCCTCCAAATCAATATTCTTACTATTTTACAATCATTTAATAATGGCCTGAGAAAAATAAAATTAAAATAATCATTTTTTTTTATTAAATCCTGATAAATACTGGAATAATACAGACATTCAATATTGAAATATCTTACATCCAGGGGCTCTGTTTCATTCAGAATATCATTTTCTTGAAAGCCTCAAATATTTTGTAGCCCAAAATTATTTTTAAATTCAAGACAAAAACACAAACTTGACAGATCAAAACAAAACAATAATCATTACGACAAAAACACGACAAAAAACATAAATCAAATGACGTCAAAAGATGACCTATGTACAGAAGAAAGATCTCAAGGACAAGAAAACAAAACAATTGATGAAAACAAAACAAATGAAGACAAATAATTAACCTACACAAAACAATGTCACACATTACATTTACAAAACAAACAAACGCAATTATTGCGGAAAAAATAAGCAAAAATACATTGAAGAATACACAATATATATATTATAGCACATTGAAATCAAATTTAACAGAAAAAAAGCACACAGCAAAAAATCGTTATTATTAATCGCACAAAATGAAAAACTTCCAGAATGAAGATATAATGATGGAGAGAATTTGACCAACAAAATCTTTTTGATATTTCTTTGGCACTTTAAAATATTTTTCACTTTAATATTAATTAATGAAACACTCAGAAATTTTCCTTCAAATGTTATGTAAAAATGTTTGATAAAATTCTCTCAATTCTTATAATAAAGTGCAATGAATCAAATGGATGAACAAGCTTTCATCTAAAGCTCATTTCAAAAGATCATGATATGATAAATTTTAATTGAAATCCAAAGAATTATGTGGCAAAATATAATCAAATCAATAAACGACGGTTCTCTCTTTTCATAAATATTGTTCAAATACCCCATGCAATCCACCACACACATACACCCAATCAACGCAATTGGTTAAATCTAATCCAACACACACATACACCCAATCGACACGACTGGTTAAATCTAATCCAACACACACATACACCCAATCGACACGACTGGTTAAATCTAATCCACCACACACATACACCCAATCGACACGACTGGTTAAATCTAATCCACCACACACATACACCCAATCGACGTGACTGGTTAAATCTAATCATCCATTCAATCGTCTCGCAACCATCCACAAAAATAAAGCATTTTTCATCCTCAACTTTCACTTTAAATTGAAACTATTTACATCTATGTACAGAGAAGGGGGACCGGTGTAACAGTCCGAAACCAAAAACTCCACCGTGTTATTATTTTTATACATTAGACTGTAATAACCGTTCATCAATGTCCTTAATACTTAAACAATATACACATATAAATCATAATTACATAAATATATCCATTTTTACAACTGTACAAACTAGAAACTCTAATGTCATATTCCACGTCTATTCAGGATTTGCTGTAGATTGATCTTTACATACACTAATTTTACATAAAATTAGAACACGCGAAAGCCTTCCATCAGAACACCGTCCCGCGAAAGGCACCCATCAGAACACCGTCCTGCAAAAGACGCCCATCAGAACGCCGTCCCGCGAAAGACACCCATCAGAACACCGTCCTGCAAAGGACACCCGCGATACGCAAACTTCTTCAACAGAGTTCTGCTACTTTCTGTTCTAAACCTTAACAGACTAACTAAATAGTGACGAGTAGCTAAGGCTTGCCTTAGCCTAGTGAATATGGTGGTGTGCCTGGACTAATTAAGTTTCATGAGAGAAGAGAAATATTTGAAAAGGGTGATAATTTACAAAAGTGAAAATAATTAAATTAGATTAGATTATAAAGGGATTATGTACAAAGGAATCCAATGTGCACAGGTAATAAGAATAATAGGTGAGTATTTCGCAGGGTACTTAATGACACAAAGACATGTTTCAAAGGGAGATAACCATAATGAAAAACAGGAGCAGATAACTCTCAGCTCCAATGATGTTTGTTAATTTTTTTTTTTGTAATTAAATTATTTTTGAACTAGCACACACTGGTAAATAAAATGAACAACAAAAAAAACAGGTACGATAGATAATCTATATATAAATATACCACGAATTGTCTTCCGATATATTACACATCTTTTCCTTACAACCAATCATTCATCTAGTTCCGTTCTATCTCATCTACCGTCATCACACGCTGACCTTGTACTGGTAATGGTGGCATACTGGGTAACTGGGATTTTAAAACATTTCCACCAAACAATTTGTTAAATATGTTACCTTCTGGGGAGTTATTCTGCTGTAGTATGTTACCCACATTTGGGGAAAGTGGTCCATCTGAAAAAGTCAAATACAACATTCAATGTCTCAATTTTTGTTTGATAGAACTCTTGTCAAAAACTCGTCAGAAATAAATTTTTACGTAACTTGTATTCCATATAATTGTGTTATGTGTTATTCAATGTCTTGTCAACAATAAACTTTGGTCATTTTGAGATAAAATGCTATTGGGTTTAACATTCTGCACCAACCGGTCTACCAGAGAGAGAGAGATAGAGAGATGGGGTTTAACGGGTCCACTCGACATAAACTAGGTAATTTCAGGACTAATATATGGTTAAATTTTATTTCATTAATTCGCTTTAGAAGTATTTAGCTAAGGGAGGAAACCAGAGGACTAGGAGAAAACCCACGAGTTTGGACAGGCGACCCTACTCCCATCATAACGACTAGACACTGTTCCCCTTGCCAGGCACTACTCCTACAAAAAAGGAGAGAGAGAGAGAGAGAGAGGGGGGGAGAGAGAGAGAGAGAGAGAGAGAGAGAGAGAGAATGGGGTTTAACTCCACTCAACACAAACTAGGTCATTGCAGGACTAACATATGGTTTAATTTTATTTCAATAATTCCCTTGCGCATAGGGGTCTTTAGCAGTGGGAGGAAACCGGGGGTTGTCACGTAAAACCGGGGATTCGAAACCACACCAGTTGACTCCATGACAGGCCTTATGATACAGTGCGCACGTGTTAACCATTCGGCTAGAGTTAGGGTTAGGGTTAAGGCAGGGAAGGAAACTCAGGGTTCCCTGATAAGTGAGCCAGTTTGGCTCCCTGAAAAAGTGAAATGAAACTTTTAGTGGAATGGGGTTCAACATCTTATCAATACTATACATTAAGTCATTTTGAGACTAACAAGGGGACTCTGTATTCTATGGTTAAATGTGTAATGCGAAGGAGAGAGAGAGAGAGAGAAATGGGGTATAACGTCCAACCGACACAAACTAAATCATTTTGGGACTAACATGGTTTAATTTTATTTCAATAATTTGCTTGCGCGTAGGGGTCTTTAGCAGTGGTAGGAAACCGGAGGCCCCGTAGAAAATCCACGAGGTTAGACAGACGACCCTACTCTTTTGTTACATACAACCGGGGATTCAAAACCACAGCGCGCACATGCTAACCATTCGGCCATCCACCCCCCGTAATGTGAAGGAGGACCAGTTTGACTAGACAATTCTTAACACAAATGCCAGTTGATCTTGGTTTCCATCTCATCTGAACAGCCTAGTACAATTTCCTTCTTAGTCCTGCAGAAACAACTCGTGACAAGTGAAGGCAGGGCTTGAAAAATCTGGAAAGTTTTTCTTGGCCCAAATCAGATATCTGGACCCTAACACTAAAATTTGGATTTCAATAATTTAATCGACTTACTTTGCTTTTGAGGAAATGGAAATAATTTAGCCGGAGAGATCGCACGACCAATACCGCTGTTAGTTGGAGAAACCATGCCAACGGGGGTTGTGGCACTACTCCTTGGACTCAACATTGGTGGTACATTTCCTGGATAAACTCCTCTCATACCCTGTAATCTTGGATCCATCATTCTCTGTTGGGCCTGTAGGGCGGCTAATTGATTAATCTGGCTTAACTGATTCATTGGACTGACATGGAGCTGATTTAACTGGTTCATTACATTCACTATAAAAATAAAAATAAAAGATGTACGAGTCTAACTCAATGTTATTGTTAGCGGTCTTCATCGTAATACAAATATGACATAGCAATACATGTCAGTTAATACTGTTGGAGCTCACATAACACTCTCCCTATTGTTTTCCTATCTCAATTATCATGATCAGGCCTGGATATCTCGATTATCGTGATCAGGCCTGGATATCTCGATTATCGTGATCAGGCCTGGATATCGTGATTATCCTGATCAGACCCGGGTATCTCGATTAATGTGAACAGGCCTGGATATCTGGATCAGACTTGGGTATATCTCAATATCACGATCAGGCCTGGGTATATCTCAATTATCACGATCAGGCCTGAGTATCTCAATTATCACGATCAGGTCTGGATTTATCCAGTAGTGTGATCAGGCCTGGATATCTCAATTATCACAATCAGGCTGGGGTATCTCAATTATCACGATCAGGCCTGGGTGTCTCAATTATCGCGATCAGGTCTGGATTTATCCAGTAGTGTGATCAGGCCTGGATATTTCAATTATCACAATCAGGCCTGGGTATATCTCAATTATCACGATCAGGCCTGGGTATCTCAATTATCGCGATCAGGTCTGGATTTATCCAGTAGTGTGATCAGGCCTGGATATCTCAATTATCACAATCAGGCTGGGGTATCTCAATTATCACGACCGGCCCATGATGTCTTCACTATCAAGCCTCAAAATCTTGACCAGCTATGTATATCACGATCAGGTCTGGATATCTTGATTATGATCAGACCTGGTTATCTCGATTATCACAATCATGCCGGTATCTCGATTATCACGATCAGATCTGTACGTCTCTATTCTCATGATCAGGCATCCATTATAATGATGTATATAATCATTGATAGGTACATCTAAAAACCATATTAGCTCCACCTACCTCTGGCAGCAGCGGCGTTGGCTGCGTTAGTATTACTCTGTATCATCTGCTGCATTAACAAGGCATTAGCTGCTGCTGGATGTACCTGACCAGATAGTACATTACTCTGTATGGGCATACGACCAGTAATAGGGATACCAAACTGTTGCGTGGAGTTAGTGAGTCCTTGTCTAGGGAGAGGAGTCGATACGTTTGGTCGCACCTGGGATTGTGGAGGGGGTTGTTGTAAGTTACCTACACCACCTGTTATAGGTCTGTGTGCAGACGTTGGTATGTTTATTCCACCAGGTGTCACCGCTCGTATCTGTTGTGGTTGTGGTGTACTTGTCATGATGTTCATGTTCGCTTGTGAAACATTGAAACCTATGAAATAAATGAAATTTATATTTTAATTTTTAAGAATTTTGAAAACTATGATTAAACAAATGATAACTGATCTACTGACATGAAATGAAATAAAATGGAGTTTACTGTTCTACTTTCCACATCTATCCGAGCTAATGAAGACATGCATATGACATGCAGTGTGATATGAAGGAAGCCTGGAGGTCGGGTGTTCGATCCCTGCACTGGTCGAGAAAGTTCATCCAGATTTTCCGGCGTGGTTCCCCCTTGTCAGTGATGCAGGACGGAGGGCCTGACAAGGACAGCTGTCTAGTCCTTAGGATGAGACGAAAAACCGAGGTCCCGTGTATACATTGGAATGCACGTAAAAGATCCCTTGGCAGTTGGAATTCGATATAAGAGTAGGTGATAGTGCAGCTGCCTGGGCAAAATTTCCCTCATAGCACACTTTATGGCATATGCCCGTCTTCATTAGCCCAGTTTAGGAGCAGAACAGTAGGACATTAAACCCCATTTCAATTTGACGGCAGCACCAAGCCCTTCTCTTATTTTGAATTCTGTGAAAGGTTCTTTGACTTGCACGCCAACTGGTACACAGGACAAGGGAAACCATGTTGGAAAACAAATTGCAGAGAAACAGATCAGGGGCGGATCCAGGAATTTTTGCAGGAGGGGGTTTGCCAGGTTCCTGAGAAAATGTATACCCCCCCCCCCCCCTCAGCTTGAAATTCTTTTGAGAAATGAATGGTCTCTATCGTCATACACATTGAGCTTTTTAAATAGAGAAATCCAACATCCTGTTTGACGTCAAATTTTTATTATGAATTAATACGATGACATTGTGATTCAATTTTATTGATGCAAAGCATTAATTGTGATATCACATATGTCTATATCATTATCTCGCGCTTTGAGTGCCCATCCTGTCGCACCATCTGACAATAAAACAATTATGACACTTTTCTCATAAAAAAGGTTGGACCCCACAAACCGCCCCATGGATCCGCGTCCGCGCCTGCAGATGAAATGAAATGGGGGTTTATGTCTTACACCAACTGGTCTAATGAAGACGGGCATACTCCATACAGTGAGCTATGGGGGAAATTTTTACCGCACAGCAACGCAACAACCTTTTCTTATTTTGAATTCCAACTGTCAAGGGTTCTTTTTACGTGCACACCAACTTGTACACAGGACTAGATACAGTGATGGGATTTCAAAATTTTACTTGTCAGACATTTTACCGAAAATAAAGGGGCATAACTCTTATCGTTATTTAAGCAGACGAATTCGTACCACAATTAAAAGTCACATGTCAAAATATTGAAATCCCGTACGTAATAAAAATAGGTGAACCTCGCTATTTTTCATATTTAATTCCCGTACAGTATTCAATTCATACCACAATTAAAAACCACATGTCAACAAAATATTTAAATCCCGTACATAATAAAAATTGGTGACCTCGCTATTTTTCACACTTAATTCCCGTACGTTAGAATTTCTGCTCATATAGCTATTGGTAGCCCCTCCCCTTTTTGTTATTTTGCTGGGTGCGTACTAGTCTCGGTCACCAAGAAACTCCTAGTCTTCAACATATTCGTAGAATATTTTTCTGGATAACAGAGACTAATAGCCTACGTGACTCAGCACACGGCTTCATAGTAAGCACTGTCTAATAATATGTTAAGCAATATTCGTGCCGCGCTAGAGATCAAGGGAAAGTGCCACTGTGGATGAGAATTTCTATATGGATTCGTAAAAGACGTAAAAGATATCGTAGACAAAATGACTGTCCATTGATTTAGGGTGTTATTTACTCTTACGATATGTGACATCTATGATTAGTTTATTATAGATGATGTCGGCTCACATCAATGCGATTAAAATGCCCGACAAATGAGGTGGATTAAAATTATAATCATTCTTATTGAATTGATGAATAGTCCGACAAAAGGAAGGCAATGACTTCTGTTTAAGATTGGATTGATGAATTGTCCGACAAAGGATTAAGTCAGTCAATCAAGGCAGATTAAGTAGTTAAATCAAGGTAGGTTTATACTATAGACGTTGATAAATACGTTGATCACTTAATTACCTAATAAACCCAGCGTATTATCGCCGATAATCGGGTTGAGTGGTAGTTATACACTCAGTAAACTATATTAATTTCGGAATTTTGAATATTATTCACCATGTCTTGATGTCCGATTGGGCATGTTCCCGGTCGGACAATTTTGGGCGTTTGGAAAAAAGATTCGGACAAGTCCGGAATATACGGGCAAAATCCCATCACTGACTAGATACCATTTGTTGCCAGACTCTCCGTCCTGCACCACTGACGAGGAGGAACCACGCCAGAAAAACTCAAATGAACTTTCTCAGCCGACTCCAGGATCGAACAAGGGACCTCCAGGTTAGCGAGTCAACGTCCTACTCACTGAGCCATGACAGAGAGAGAGAGAAATGGGGTTTAACGTCTACTCGACACAAACTAGGTCATTTCGGGACCAACATATGGTTTTAATTTTATTTCAATAATTCGCTTGCACGTAGGGGTCTTTAGCAGTGGGAGGAAACCAAAGGACCCAGAGAAAACCCACGAGGCTGGACAGGCGACCCTACTCCTTGTCACGTACAACCAGGAATTCGAAACCACGCCAGTTGACTCAATGACAGGCCTTATGACACAGCACGCACGTGCTAACCATTCGGCCATCCAACCCCCCCTGAGCCATGACAGCTCATGCAGAGAAAATTATAGGCTACATAAAACTTACTTTTAAATATAGGTCTACCAATACCAGCTTGTGGCGTAGAAACTGGAGCGGGTATTTGATTTTGTGAATTTTGAGAATTACCGACAACCGCCCGTACAGATTTAATCTGCATATTAACAGATCCACCTCCCATCTGTAATTTGTTCTGTAAACATAAAAACATCAACTATTAGGCCACACAAAAAAAATATTTTGTTCAAAATGTTTTATAGAGTTACTTCCCTTCAACAGTATAAGGAACGAGCATGCAAACTTTCATGTCCATCGTAAATAATTCAGCAGAGATTTAGGCATATTTTCGATGTGCAAGGCCCCAAAGAGAGAGGGATAGAAAGGGGGAAAGAGTGAGATAAACATCCATTCGGCACAAACTAGGTGATTTTGGGACTAACATATGGTTCCATTATATTTGTTTGCGTGTGGGGGTCTTTAGCAGTGGGAGGAAACCAGAGAACCCGGAGAAAACCCATGAGGTTGAACAGATGACCCTACTCCTTGTCACGTACAAGTGGGAAATCAAAACTACACCACTTGACTCAATGACAGACAGTATGATGCAACATACACGCATTAACCATTCGGCCACCCCTTCCCCAACAATCCCCAAGAACAGGATGAGTAGCGGTTAGGGTCCAGTTCCTAGTTTAAACATGTAACATAGAGAGAGAGAAAGAGAAATGGAGTTTAATGTCCACTTGACACAAACTAGGTCATTTCGGGACCAACATATGGTTTCAATTTTATTTCCATAAGTCGCTTGCGCGTAGGGGTCTTTAGCAGTGGGAGGAAACCGGAGGACCCGGAGAAAACCCAGGAAGTTGGACAGGTGAACCCACTCCTTCTCATGTACAACCGGGAATCGAAATCATTCAGCCATCCAAACCCCCAAACATGTAACAGATATCATACCATATCTTGTGTTAAATTTTGATCTATCAGTCCGTTTATATCTGTAACATCTCCATCTCTCTTTATATCCATATGATCACCTTGTCCGTCTGGTATCAGTTGTTTTATAGGCGCTCTATTCATTATATCTGTAATATATAACAATATGGGCTTTATACATTATTATATGAAATATATATATTTAATAACATGGTATTTATTTTAAAAAAAGGAGTTTTTAGGCTTGTATCCAACGTACCTTCACCATCTGGCTTGCCCTTTTCTTTTTCACTGGCTTTATCTGAATGCATCTTCCTCATCACTGATGTAGGAGTAAAGGCAGGTGTCATGGTGGTCTGTAAATGGAAAATTAAGTCAATAATTACACTGCATTAAATCTGTGCCCCTCTAACTCAAACAACCTTTAGAACCATACACTGTAACCCAGGTACTATTAAATCTTGTGCCCATTCTAACTCAAACAACCTTTAGGATCATACACTGTAACCCGGGTACCATTTAATCTTGTGTATCTAGCACAAATTTCTTTCACATTCGTTTAATATCTAATCTTTGTTTAAAAAATTTTATACTTGTGTCCAGTTTAAAGCTGACCATTCAATTTTAGTAATGAGTGTCCAATATTGCAAGCATTTAATATCTCGATCACTGTTAAAAAATAAGCAACCCAATTAATTGTTGATGTATAATGATTAATTTTTTAACAGTAGTCAGGAAATTAAATACTTGTAAATTGGACACTCATTATCAAAATTAATCAGTGAGCTTTAAATTGGACACAATTAAATGGTACCTGGGTTACAGTTATAGGTTGCTTAAGGGTAATCATTACTTTTTTCCTTTTAATTATAATCTGAGACTCAATAAAATTAGCCTTTTAATTTACCAGCATAATATAGGATATAACAAAGATTCTTTAAACTTATCGAGACCAGAATTGCAGATTGATAGCTTAGTGTACTGCACTATAGCTATGTGTATTTTACCAGATTTACAGATTGATAGCCCAGTGTATTGTACCATAGCTAAGTGTATTGCACCATAGCTCAGTGTATCATACCATAGCTAAGTGTATTGTACCACAGCTAAGTGTATTGCACCATAGCTCAGTGTATTGTACCATAGCTTATATGTTTTTTTACCATAACTAAGCGTATTATAGTTTTGTACCATATAAGTGTATTGTACTACTGAACCTAGCTACATGTATTGTACCATGACTGTGCATTTACCATAGCTGTAGGTATTGTACCATAGCTAAGTGTATTGTACCATAACTATGTGTACTGCAAAATAGCTACATGTATTGTACCATGACTGTGCACTATACCATAGCTAAGTGAATTGTACCATAGCTAAGTGAATTGTATCATACCATAGCTAGGTGAATAGTACCATAACTAAGTGTATTATACCATAGCTAAGTGTATTGTACCATTGATAAATCTACTGTTTACTGACACGACTGAATTTGCATCCAAAAAAATACAATATGAATTCGATTCCAAGTAGAACGAAAATTGGAAACTGGTTCTTGAACAAAAATTAAATCATTCAAAAAAATTCATGCGAGAATTAACAAGAATATAAAAACTGAAAGGATGTCAAATGTAAAATTAGTTTGCGACGCTATTCACCCCATAGAGTAGATAAAATATCTTCATGTTGTTCTTCGGATGTAAAAAATGCTTAAATATAAAATGTATTTAAAATACTTCCAGACTAACATATTATGGCCATGTGTGCAATGAAAGTACACAAAACATTTTATGACAGCATGCAAAAATCATCCGCTTGTGAGGCACAACCATCTGTTTGAATGTCTTGTGTTCATTAGTGCAGCCGGGGCAGAACAGTAGGACCGTAAACCCTATTTCTGTTCAAATGTCATGTTCATCAAGTTGTTGGTCAAGATCATCCGTTTGTAGGTCAAGATCATCCGCTTGTCGGCCAAGGTCATCTGCTTGTCGGCCAAGGTCATCCGCTTGTCGGCCAAGGTCATCTGCTTGTCGGCCAAGGTCATCTGCTTGTATACCATGATCATGCGATGGAGTGCCATGATCAATCGATTGTATGTCATGATCATCCGATTGTATGTCATGATGACCTGATTGTATGCCATGATCTTCTGCTTGTATACCATGAATCCGAATGTATGACTTGATCATCTGACTGTGCCCCATGATCATCTGACTATGCCCCATGATCATCCGAATGTATGTCATGATCATCCGATTACAGGTCATAATCATCTGATTACATGTCATAATCATCCGATTACATGCTATGAGCATCCGATTTCATGTCCTCATTATCCGATGGTATGCCATGATCATTCGATTATATGCCGTGATCATCAGATTGCATGCCATGAACCTCTGCTTGTCGGCCATGATCATCCGATTGTATGTCTTGATTAACCGCTTGTATGTCATGATCATCCAATTTTATGTCTTGATTAACCACTTGTATGCCCTAACGATGATCAGACTACTGGCCATGATCATTCAACATAGGCTACATCAGATTCAATGCTTTACTGACCTTATTATTAGATGCAGTTTGTACTGTATTAGTTGTAGAGGAGATCATTGACTGGTTAGTCACTGGTCGATTCTGTCCACTTGTCAACCCTGGTGACTTTGCCCTGAAATATCCAGAAAATATTACATGGTAACCAATCAACACTAATGACTTCACTTCAGAAGTAACATATGCTATTTAATTACTCATGCCGAGAGAGGGAGGGAGAGAGAGAGAGAGAGAGAGATGGGGTTTAACATCAACTTGACACAAACTAGGTCATTTCGGGACTAATAAATGGTTCAATTTTATTTTAATAATTTGTTTGCGCATCGGTGTCTTTAGCAGTGGGAGGAAACCGGAGGACCCAGAGAAAACCCATAAGGTTGGACAGAAAACCCTACTCTATGCCACGTACAACCGGGGAATCGAAACCACACCAGTTGACTCAATGACAGACCGTATGATGCATCACGCATGCCTTAACCATTCGGCCATCCAACCCCCCATGCAAAAGGGGAGAAACTAGATTACTCATTAACCATACAACAGTGTATTTTATGGGAGCAGTTATTAAATAAGAATCTCAAAGGTTGTCAAATTCATGGTTTAATTTCGAATTAAAGTAACTATCCATTAAACTATCAATATTCAGGGGCCAATTGATCGGGGAGCAGTCGTCGTCACAGTAGACCTGTTTATGACTTACCTATCCTGTTGTTTCTTTAAGAAACGTTCTTTTTGATCTTCTAGCTGTTTTTTAATGAGAGCACTCTGTAAGATAGCCTGATTGTGGGCTATCAGTTCTTGAGGACTAGGTATACGATTCAACATTGTTGGTGATGTCTGAAAGAAAAAATAAACATTTCTGCATTTGTTTTCTATTGAAATATGGTTGTATATTGTCGTTGCCCCTGTCCGTCCGTCGATCAGACATTCCACAACTGCATGTGGGAGCTCTGATGGGTTAGGGGTTAGTTAATATCATACTGACTTCCAACTTATACACAGTATTCATGAGCCAAAGAAGCATTTCAATTGTCAACAATTTCAAATAATTACTGCTTGAGTTATGGTCCTTGACGAAGAAGCATTTTGATTGTCAAGAATTTCAAATAATTACTGCTTGAGTTATGGTCCTTGACGAAGAAGACTTTTTGATTGTTAACAATTTCAAATAATTACTGCCTGAGTTATGGCCCTTTGTGCCCAACTATTCTGCAACTTCCAAGGGTTATTTACGATTTGACATAGTGCATAGTGGACAGTGGGATACATCGTAGGTTAGTTTCTTTACAAGGGGGAGCCACGGTGACTTGCTAACCTAGTCCTGAGTTCACAAAGCATTCTCAGGCTTAAGTTGAGAACTTACTCAACTTTCAATCACTGTTTATGGGAAAGATCTTTGATCCAGATACACAATAATTTGCACATAGTTTCTTATTGAAGTTTTTGAAACATTAAAACAATAAAAGTTTAAAAAAGGGCTATATTTTAGTTAAAAAAAAAAAAAAGGGCGTACAATTTTGAGTAAATTCTTAACTCAGTCTGAGAATGCTTTGTGAACTCGGGGCTTGGAGGTTCCGTGTTTGATTTCAGTGTTGACCGAGAAAATTCATCTGGATTTTCCACAGGTTTCCCCTCGTCAGTAGTGTCAGGCAAAGGGCCTGGCAAGGGACAATGTATAGTTTGATCGGAGGTGACATTGAAGTGCACGTAAAAGAACTCTTGGAATTCGATATAAGAGTAGGCCTTAGTTCCTCTGTCCTGTCAAAATTTGCCTCATAGCACACTGCATGGCGCCTGTCCGTCTTCATTAGACCAGTCAGAGCAGAACAGTAGGACCCGAGACACCATTTCATTTCATTTTACAATAACAAAAATATGGTACTTACACTCAGTGTATTATTATTAGGCATTGCACGTCCAAGTTGTGATGGATGAATGGGTGATGGCGCATTTAGATGCATTGGTGGTTGTTGACTAAACACTGGAATAAATAATTTTAACAATTACATTTTATTGTGTTCAAGAGAGAAAGAGAGAGAAATGGGGTTTAACGTCCACTCGACACAGACTAGGTTATTTCGAACTTACATATGGTTCAATTTTATTTCACTAATTCGCTTGCATGTAGGGTTCTTTAGCAGTGGGAGGAAACCAGAGGACCCGGAGAAAACCCACAAGGTTGGACAGGCCAACCTACTCCTTGTAACGTACAACCGGGGATTCGTAACCACGCCAGTTGGCTCAATGACAGGCCTTACGATACAACACGCATGTGCTAACCATTCAGCCATCCAACCCCCCCTTATTGTGTTCAAACATTCCCAAATATTATAAAATTTAATCATACAGACATCTTTATGGATAACATTCGCTAGGTTTATTAACTGCAACGTTTGAATGAGGGTACTCTGTTCAGGGTTGGCGACTGCACAAGGACTGTCCCAAGGCTGATATTTGGTGTATAGGGGTAGCTTGGACTGGCGAATAACATTGGGAGGAAACCAAAGGACCCAGAGAAAACCCACAAGGTTGTACAGATGACACTAGTCCTTGGATCAAAACAATGCCACTTGAATCAATGTCAGAACTTATGATCTAAAGCGCATACAATAGATTCCCCAACATATACTCTTCAAAAAAAGTAGGGAATATTAAAATGCAAATACCTATGCAGTGATATGATAAATAGTCATGGACACTTGACATGCTTTGAGAGTATGTTCACAGATGAAGAACTTATCTTCCCAATAGAACAACTGAGCTGCACATGCGACACGCAATAGCGCCATACACGTGGGAGGGGTTCATTGTCAAATTTGACACTTCAAGGAAGGGTTGATGAAAACTGCCGTTTGCTGGTTTATCCTATCCATGTCTGCTTTCCTATCGGTTCTTGCATAAGATTTACTTTTTAGCGTATCTTTAATTTAGTGTGTTATGTTTAATTTTATCAGGAGACGTGTTCGTCAACGTCAACGGACAACACTGTAAGAATTGGCCATGGCACTGCAAGAGGAGTGGGTCAGATTGCCCCAAATCATGATTGGACAGTTGATTAGGAGCATGCCACAACAATTTGCTGAATGTCTGAGGATTGGTGGAGCAATTACTCATTAAGACAAAAATCAAAAACGTCCATTTTCAATTTAGACACTGCATCTCTTTGCGAGTGAAATGGGGTCGTCAGATAAGCCACCCATATGAACTGTTTATGTTCATGTGTAGGCAATTGGCCCGTTATTAACATACACTGGTTACCTCTAATAAAAACAGCAGTGCATTTCAGCAGTTTTGTATTGTTGAAGAGTATATATATACATGTACTTACTGATGGGTGAGGGTATTCTAGGAGCTGAAGGTTGTTGATGTTGTTTTTGTAGAAGATTATTAGCCATGATGGGTGTTGGAGACTGACCAATACGTGGAGTAGATGTATTATGTACAATGTTGGGTATCTGACCTACAGCAGGGGACGGAGGTTTCGTTATAATAGTTGGATTCTGCTGTAAGAAGTTGGCCAGCATACGGTCCTGGGCGATAGGACGTGGTGTGCCTGCCATCTGTTGTTGTGGGGGAAGCATGTGCTGGGGAAGCTGGTGGGGTTGAGAAGAAGGCTGTTGAAATCGCATCTGTGTTAAAGCCTGTTGCTGTAGGTGCATTTGTTGTTCCCGGTTCCTCATGACGGCCTGAAATAATACAGAAAAACAAAATGAGCACAAGGCATAAAAATATTAATAGACGTCCATGTTGTACCATGTTTCCGCCTATGTACAAAATTTGCAAAGGATGATGGATGTGGTAGGTATAAAATAATCGAGAGAGAGAGAGAGAGAGAGAGAGAGAGAGAGAGAGAGAGAGAGAGAGAGAGAGAGAGAGAGGTTTAACATCCACTTGACACAAACTAGGTCATTTAGGGACTAATTTAATTTCAATAAGATGCTAGCGCATAGGAGTCTTTAGCAGTGGGAAGAAAATGGATGACCTGGAGAAAACCTACGAGGTTGGACAGGTGACCCTACTCCTTGTCACGTACAAGCGGGGAATCGAAACCACGTCACTTGACTCAATGAAAGGCCTTATGATCAAACACACACATGCTAACCAATCGGCCACCCTATACCCTTCCCCCCCAGTGAATAGGAAGAGACATACCTCCATAAATTTACTGTTAAATTGACTAGTTGCCATATTGACACCAGGTGGCATTCCTGCTGTACTGGTCAATGGTGACATCTGTCGATTCTCTTGTGGCATCATCTACAATATATATATATATATGTATGTAGACACATCTTTAAAATCTCACAGAAAACCCGGACTATAGTGTGGTCACTAAAATGCTAGACAGCTACAGTGGCCCAGTGAGTAAGACGCTGGCTCGCTAACCGGTCATTAGCCAATAATAGAAATGAAATGCAATCTGATATATATTTTGTTTCATTTACGGGGATTGAACTTGTGACCTTTTGAAGAAATATTCGATGACTATGATCAGTTTTATATCTTTAACTATATAGCGAAACCACAAATGTTAATTTTCCAGTTTCAAGGAGTGTGCGAACCTTGAGAATCAACAGTTGCGACAATAAACAGAGGTTAAAGAAAAATGACCAAATATAGATATACCTGTGAATTGGGTGGCTCTGGTGATCCTGAACCAGCACCTGCTGTCATTAAACTAAGCAGTTTATTGAATGCTGTGAGATCTTCTTCAGACTTGTTATTTGATTGTTGTTGTTGTTGCTGCTGATGCATCTGTTGTTGCTGATGATGATGTTGATGATGATGCTGATGCTGCTGCTGCTGATGTTGGTGCTGTTGTTGCTGATGCATCTGTTGTTGATGCTGTATGGGGCTCATTCTAGCACTAGAACTGGGTGAATTCTGGTGAAATCCTGCTTCTAATTCAGCAACAGTTTTCAATCTACTGCCACCTGAAAAAATAATTGTTTCATAAAACCAGAGTTGCAACTGGACAAATGAAATGAAATGGAGTTGAGCGCTCTACTGTTTTGCTAATGACGACGAGCATACATCATACAGTGTTCTATGAAGGAAATTTTGGCCTATTCTTATATTGAATTCCAACTGCCAAGGGATCTTTTACGTACATGCCAGTGTATACACGGGAACTCAATTTTTCGTCCCATCTGAACGACTGGACAGATGTCATTGTCAGATCCTCCTTCCTGCACCACTGACAAGGGGGAAACCACGTCGGAAAATCGCGATGAACTTTCTCGGCCAATGCAGGGATCAAACACGCGACCTCCAGGCTAGCGAGCCAGCATCTTAACCACTTAGCCACCGTGGCTCCTGCAACAGGACAAAAGATAGGTTGCCTGGCAACAACACATCTACACCTATAGGTAAGATGGACTGACCAATAACTATACTCAATTAGTTTTTAGAGCACTATATGTACCTGCAGGACTAGATGTTCCACTCGAGGAACCAGAATCTTTTCTACTACCGAATAACATGGCTTTAAGGTGAGCTTCTGCATCTTGTGAACTAAACACACCCTGGTTGTTCGGAATAGCTGTAATATGTAAATCATAAAATTAACATCACTTTCACAACAAATTATACAAATTTCAAGCACAAGACTGATTAGAATGGGGGTTTTTTTTCGCAGAAGACCCCACTGAACTACAAAATCTGAATGATAGAGAGCGAAATGGGGTTTAATGTCCAATTAACAGAAATTAGATCAATAGGGTTCAATTTTATTCTAATAATTCATTTGCACATATGGGGTCTTTAGCAGTGGGAGATCAGCTCCTTGTCATGCTCAAGCGAGGAATCAAAACCAAGCCACTTGACTCAATGACAGACCTTACGATCTAACATGCACACATTAAACCATTCGTCCACACTGAACATAAAAACAACTACAAAATCGAAACTACAGTGAGAGAGAAATGGGGTTTAACGTCCAATCGAAACAAATTAGATCAATAGAGGACTAACTTATGATTCAATTTCAATTCAATAATTTGCTTGCGCATCCGGGTCTTTAGCTTTGTTAGGAACCGGAGGACCCAGAGATACACCCTCTCTCCCCACCCCCCCGCCCCCATCCCCAATATAAAATAAAATTTGAGGAGCGATATTCCTTGATCCAGATTCTTTCATCTTTAGAAAAGTTGACTGTACAAGTAGGACTTTAAACCACATTTCAATTAATTTTTCAAGTTTGGCACGCTGTTATGAAAGTTTAATTGATCACATCTTTGTAAATACTGAAAGGAACTGCATCTTTTTGGAACTAATATTCATTATCGCAATTCATCTTCAAAATGGCTTTAAAATGTTGACATAAAACTTACAAGCGTTGCCCCTATCCAGGTTCGGAGTGTTGGCCATAAACATGTGGTTTACATTAGGATTTAAGGCAGCCATATTTTTGTGGTGCAGAGCTGTCTCTAGTCTTGCCGTTTTATCTTCCATGTTGGAGAAATGAGGGAACATTGGGCCTTTGTCAAAAACATTTGGTATTGGTGGTGGAGTAGGGGAGGGTATCAAGGGTACTGGACTTCTCGACTCCTTCAATATATCTGAAATACATGTAAATATCAATCAATTAAAGATACATTATGGGAGATTAGATAAAGAGATGGCAGTTCTCGCTATAATAGTTAAAAACTAAATAGTGTAAAGGTAATTTGCTGAAAATTTCAGTCAAATTGATCCACTATGAGCCGAGAATGAAGCGGGTGAAATTTTTGCATAGTCTCGGTCATCATTACTAAAATCATTAATATAAACAGCATAGTCTCGATTATCCACTGTTTTGATTTAATAATCAATGGCCGTTAAGCGGCATATAGGAATCTAATCCAGCCAACATCGAAAGGCTAACCTTGACATCGAGAGTTTATTATGGTCTGGATAAGTTAATTAATGTCTAATTGATAATTTAGATAACAATTCAGGCCTAAAGAAAGACTTGTAATAAGCAGATTTTGCTCTTGCATAATGCATGTTTAAATATCTAAATTGTTAATAAAATATGCGAACATGTTTTTTTTTTCATTCTAAATCATTTCGATATTTCAATCTTGGCATCAGAGCAGGATTATTACTGAGCTGAGAGAGAAATTGAGATTTTTGCATGAATTTTCTGATGTCAGCTATAAGTAAAGGGGTGAGGAAAATCAACCTGAACCAAGCTGTATGCTGCATCCAATCGACACAAACCAGGTCAATTTGGAATTAACATGGACCTGGATAAAACCCGCAAGGTAGGACAGGTGACTTTATGCCTTGTCACTTAATAGTAGTAAACAAAGTGGGGGACCCCTCGGGACTACATCTTATCGTTAATGCCATCCAGTGCGAATGTTCTTAAAGTGTAAATCCATTTGAATTCATTGGCTTTCCTTACCGCATCGTTTTTGCAGTTATCTGGGTCAGTCTTAAAAAGCTCTATAATTTTAATCATAACATTTTTACTTGTATGTCCATCTATTCTAAGTTGAAGTGTAGTGCGACCGGCTTTGGCCTGTTGTGTCTAATATCTGCATAGTAGGGTATCGTAACCAAGCCACTTCACTATATGCTTGACCTTATGATCCAACACGCACGCTTTAAACCATTCAACTACCAAACAAATACCCCACCCCCTACATCTCTTCACGTTCAAACTGGAGAGAGAGAGAAATGGGGTTTAATTTTATTTCTATAATTCGCTTGCACGTAGGGGTCTTTAGCAGTGGGAGGAAACCTACAAGGTTGGACAGGCGATCTTACTCCTTGTCAAGTACAACCGGGGAATCGAAAACCCCGCCAGTTGACACAATGACAGACTTTATGATACAGCGCGCACATGCTAAACATTCAGCCATCGACCCCCACCCCCGTTCAAGCAGGGAATCGAAACCTTGTCACTTGACTCAAAGACAAGACTATGATATTGAAATTGATAATCATCATTAATGTCCTCACCATTAAGATATTCAAACTGATAATCATCATTAATAGAAGATCTTCTACTGTTCTCTTTACTACCTGTAGCTTGTGCAAACCATCTACTAAATCTACTTCCTGTATCACCTTCTGTCGATTCGGGTTCATCCTACAAATAAAATCAAATCAACTTTTCTGCAACCCAGGTTGGACAGAAGACCAGATAGAGAGAGAGAGAGAGAGAGAGAGAGAGAGTCCACTTGACACAAACTAGGTCATTTCGGGACTAACACATGGTTCAATTTTATTTCTATAATTCGCTTGCGCATAGGTGTCTTTAGCAGTGGGAAGAAACGGGAGGACCTGGAGAAAACCCACTTATATCAAAATCCAACTGCCAAGGGATCTTTTACGTGCATGCCAATGTATACACAGGACCTCGGTTTTACTGTTCAGATAAATAATTCATTTTGTGACGGGGAAATTTATATATAATTAATAACTATTAATCTATCATCATAGATCTTAAAAATACCTACATGCAACCCTGGAATGCTTCCAACGTGGAAAAATTGGTTGAAATCAAAGATTGAGTTGGACGTTGGAGATGGGCGTGTCTCAGCTGCTTCAGGAGAACTGGATTCGTTGGTCTCCAAACTTCCATTTCTATCACCAAAATTAGTACCTGATGAAAAAAAAGATTTAAAATTGGTCTATTAGCATTAAAGAAGCGAGAGAGAGAAATGGGGTTTAATGTCCACTCGACACAAACTAGGTCATTTTGGGACAAACATATGGTTTAATTTTATTTCAATACTTCGCTTGCGGGTAGGGGTCTTTAGCAGTTGGAGGAAACCGAAGGACACAGAGAAAACCCACGAGGTTGGACAGGCGACCCTACTCCTTGTCACATAACCATTCGGCCATCCAACCCCCCCCCCCCCATTAAAGAAGCATTATGGAAATTAGATAAAGAGCTGGCAGTTCTCACTATAATAGTTAAAAACTATAGAATGTAAAGAGAATATGCTGAAAATTTCAGTTAAATTGCTTCATTCTGAACCGAGATATTATCGATTGAATTTTAGACCTCACCTAGCCTCGATCATTATTACTCAAGTCAGTACAATAAAAAACATAGTCTCAATTATCAAGTTTTGCATTTAGTCATCAATGAGCATTCAGCAGCAGATCAGATTCAAATCCAGGGAAAATCTGACACATAAGATGGCATCGAGAGTTGATTATGGTCTGGATATGTTAAATACTGTCTAATTAATAATCTAGATAACATTTTTGATAATAATAATTTGGATAAGTTAAATAATATCTAATTAATAATTTAGGTAGCATTTCCTGTCTTAAGAAAGACCTGCAATATGCAGATTTAGCTCTTGCACAATGTATGTTTAAATATAGTGGCTATATCCTGCATGGGTTTATATTCAGATTGTCAAACATATTGCCATTTCATCGATTACATGTGACATCGATTTCATGTCCATATTCCAATAGACAAAACACAGAACATGGTTTGCATCCCAAGCAAGGGAAGTTTCTGTCATGCATTTCAGCTGCACATGTGCGTCAAGATATATCGCAAACAGAAGTTACTGTTCGAGTCAAGACTGCATTTACATTCCCTACATCCTGTTGTGTATAATTACAGGATGTAATTATCGATTTTCTAGAGAGACAGAGAAATGGGGTTTAACATCCATTTCGGGACTAACATATGGTTCAATTCTATTTCAATAATTTGCTTGCATGTAGGGGTCTTTAGCAGTGGGAGGAAACTTTGTAATACAACTGCTTTTTTCACCACCAAATTCAAATTTTTGTACAAAAAATTATAACAAATACATGTACCTTTGTCCTTTTCCTCTTTTTCCTCCTTCGTTTCCTTAGGTATGATCTTTTCTTTCTTTGGTGCTGGCTCCCTGACCTCCTCCACTTGATTCTCCTTGGCATCACCATCTCGCTCAAAACCTTGAAGTTCGATTGTATCTGACTTACTAGTTGGTCCAGCGGTAAACCATTCAGGCTCCTCTTCGTGATGATGGCTGCGTCTGCCAGAACTGTATCTATGGTTGTCTCTATCCCGGTTATAGTCTCGGTGTTGATTGTCTCTTGGATCACGGTTACGGAGATTTCTCGGATCTCGGTCTCGGGTATCACGCAGGTCACGTTCTCTATCACCTCTTTCACTACGTTCAACTCTGTTATCCCTATCTCGGATATCTCGCGAATCTCTGAAATCTCTCTGCAATAAACCATTTAAACTTATTAATTCATAAAATCTAAAGAGTCTAGCCAATCCAAAGTCTTGTATGAAATTCATTTATTGCTTCATTGAATGTCTGGATATAAAAAGCTATGAGAGTTTCCATGTAACCCAGGAAACCACATTAGTGGAGTAAATGCAATGTGAAAGCACTTAAATTGATGAAGTAGTCAACAAAATACAACAAAGATATATATATATAAATTTTATCGGTTATCTAAACACATTCTAAATTATTCAGATGTCAGAAAATCCTGTAAATTACACAGTGCTGTCAGTATTTGGTTTCTTTCTGAAACAATTGCATGAAAAACATAGCTTTTCAGTGACATTATTTCATATATTCTCTTCGTGCTTTTTTTATAGGTGCTCAAACGCTAAATTAGACAAGAGCATCGCTAACGCTGCAATATACGTCCACATTCCAGCTTTGATTGATATGGTACTTTTTAAAATGAAGAGAATGAAATATGAAATGGCTGTAATATGATCAGAGGCAAAGAAGGCTAGGCGTCGGGTTTGTTTTGCCAAATTTACAGACAAAATACTAACAATAAAGTGGGTGTGACACTGCCCCAGGAGGTCGGGGCAAGTATCAAAATAAATAGTTGCTGTCTTTATGGTATAAGGAATAAATATGCACATTTCAAGATGATCCATTCAGAATTGCAGCCTGTAGACGATAAATACAAAAACTGGGCGTGGCTCTGCCCATGGGGGTTGGATATGGAAACAATATAAATAGGAACCATCCTAAAGGTCTAAGGAATAAGTACACCAAGTTCCAAGATAATCCATTCAGAATTGTGGCCTTTGTCCGTTAAAGGCAAAAATAGGGCGTTGCTTTGCCCCTGGGCGTCGGGGCATTCACCAAAATCAATAGTTGATGCCCTTAGGCTCTAAGGAATACATATGCCAAATACCAAGTTGATCCCTTCAGAATTCCGGCCTGTAAACGATAAACATAAAAATTGGGCGTGGCTCTGCCCCTGGGGGTCGTGACATGCAGTTGTCGTCCTTAGGCTATAAGGAAAACATATCCCAAGTTCAAAGACAATCCATTAAGAATCGTGGCCTGTAGGCAACTCACAGAGACACAAAGAAAAAATGGGTGTGGCTCTGCCCCTGGGGGTTTGGCAATCACCAAAAAAATAGAGGTCAGCCTTAGGGTATAACGTATAAGTATAAACAAGGCATAGCAGGCTGTAAGTGACATACAGACACACAAAAAGAAAATGGGTGTGGCTCTGTCCCTGGGGGCTGGGCATTCACCACAAACAATGGGGATGTTCCTTAGGATAGAAGGAGTAAGTATGCAAAGTTTCAAGGTGATACGTTAAGAAATGCGGTCTGTAGATGACAAACAATGAATATAAGAAATGGGCGTGGCTCTGCCACTGGGGGTCGGGCATGCACCAAACACAATAGGGATCATCTTTAATTAGGGTATAAGGAATTCATATGAAATTTTTTCAAGACGATCGATTAAAAATTGTGGCCTGTAGGCGACACACAGACACACAAAGAGAAAATGGGCGTGGCCTTGCCTCTGGGGGTTGAGCATGCACCCCAAACGATATAGGGATGTTCCTTAGAGTACAGAGAATAAGTATGCAAAGTTTCGAGATGATGCGTTAAGAAATGCGGCCTGTAGACGACAAACAAACAAATACAAGGAATGGGCGTGGCTCTGCCCCTGGGGATCGGGCATGCACTAAAAACAATAGGGATCATTCTTATATAAGGAATAAGTATGTAAAGATTCAAGATGATAACTTAAGAATTGTGGCCTGAAGGCGACACACAGACACACAAAAAGAAAATGGGCGTGGCTCTGCCCCTGGGGGTTGGGCATGCACCCCAAACGATAGGGATGTTCCTTAGGGTACAAAGAATGTGTATGCAAGATTATAAGTTAAGAAATGTGGCCTGTAGACGACAAACAAACAAATACTAGAAATGGGCGTGGCTCTGCCCCTGGGGGTCGGGCATGCACCAAAAACAATAGGGATCTTCCTTGGGGTATAAGGAATAAGTATACCAAGTTTGAAGAAAATCCAGTAAGAATTGCGCCCTGTAGGCGACACAAAGACACACGAAAAGAAAATGGGCGTGGCTCTGCCCCTGGGGGTTGGGCATGCACCCCAAACGATAGGGATGTTCCTTAGGGTACAAAGAATGTGTATGCAAAGTTTCAAGATTATTAGTTAAGAAATGTGGCCTGTAGACGACAAACAAACAAATACTAGAAATGGGCGTGGCTCTGCCCCGGGGGGTCGGGCATGCACCAAAAACAATAGGGATCTTCCTTGGGGTATAAGGAATAAGTATACCAAGTTTGAAGAAAATCCATGAAGAATTGCGCCCTGTAGGCGAACCACAGACACACACACACACACACACACACACACACACACATACATACATACACACACACACACACACAGACAGGGGCGACGGCATAATACGTTCACATTATGAATGTGGACGTATAAAAATGTCACCACAATATGAAATGTTCTGCTCCAACAGGGCTAATACGGAAGGGGACCTGCATTCCAATTTAAAATCAAGGATTCTTTTACATAAAAGATGGGAAATGAAATGGGGTTTAACGTCCTAATGTTCTGCTCCTATACTGGGCTAATGAAGACGGGCATACAGCATACAACGTGCAATAAGGGAAATTTTGCCCGGGAGCGGCGCTGTGGCCTACTGTTATATAGAATTCCAACTGCCAAGGGATCTTCTACGTACATGCCAATGTATACACGGGTCACCAGTTTTTCGTACCATCCGAACGACTAGAGAGCTATCCTTGTCAGGCCCTCTGTTCTGCATCACTGACAAGGGGAAACCACGCCGGAAAAATCCTGATTAACTTTCTAAGCTAATGCAGGGATCGAACACGCGACCTCCACTCTAGCGAGCCAGCGTCTTACCCACTTAGCTACTGTGGCCTCCACGTAAAAGATGGGGGTTAGGTGGCCAAATGGTCAACGTGTACAGGTTGGATCAAAAGGTTTGTCTTTGAGTCAAGTGGCGTGGTTTTGATTCCACAAGCAGCAGGGTTTTCTTCGGGTCCTCCGGTTTCCCCCCGCTGTTAAATACCCCTATGTGCAACTCAAGAAATGACCTAGTTTGTGTCGAGTGGACGTAAACCCTGTCTCTTACGTAATAGTCAATATGCACATACAAACTCAACGGCTAGTCCTGCACCACCACTGCTAAAAATACTTGATAAATTTTGAAATCAACTATCTGTCAACTTACCCGATCATCGTAATCTCTTCTAAACCTATCATTCCTCTCGAATCTACGATCACCTCGCTCATCATGTCTGTCTCGTTCATCTATTCTATCCCGATCATCACGATCATAGCGACCACGATAATCCCGACCCTGATCTCTGTCAATCTGTATTCTACCACTGCCAATTCTTCTCTCTCTACGGTCTCCTCCTCTGTTGAAAGATTTTTAAAAAAGCAGAGATTAATCATTGTAACACAAATGGCCACATCAGCATGAAAATGTCTTATCAAATGATACAACAGCAGAACCTGTATTCAGCAGTCACTCAACACTGTAACCCGGGCATAATTTAATCTTGTGTATCTAGCACTAATTTCTTTCACATTCATTTAATATCAAATCTTTGTTTAAAAATCCATAAAAAATCACCATAAATTATCTAATTTGTACTTGTGTCCAGTTTAAAGGTGACTCATTAACTTTGATAATGAGTGTTCAATTTACAAGTATTTTATTTCCTGACCACTGTTCAAAAATAAATCATTATACATCAATAATCAATTGGGTTGTTTATATTTTAACAGTGATCGAGAAATTAAACGCTTGTAAATTGAACACTCATTATCAAAATTGAATGGTCAGTTTTAAACTGGACACAAGTACATAATAGGTGATTTTTGGTGATTTTAAACTATTTTTAAGAATTTTTAAATTTTTAAACAAAGATTTGATTTTGAATGAATGTGAAATAAATTAGTGCCAAAAACACAAGATTCAATGATACCTGGGTTACAGTGCAAGAGATGGTCATGACTGGCCTTTTAGTAGAAGTGGCCGAGGGGAGGCAAGTCATAGTAAAACCAAAATGGCAAATATTAACAGTAGCCGTTGAATAAATTTATAACTAAAATAATGATTACTGACTGAGTGACTGTCTTAGGGAGGTGACCATTCATTAAAGAGATGATACAATTATTGTCTAGCCCTGATTTCCATTACTACCGTTACGATAATAAACTTGATTATCCATTTTTACGATGACTGCATCGACCACAAAACGTATACAAATCTACTTATATCGCAGCCATCCGATGGCATCGAGAGATGATTAATAACGTCTAATTAATAACTCATATAACATTTCAGGCCTAAAGAAATACCTGCAATACATGTAGCTTTTTACGCCTGTTTAAGTACATATTAAAACCTACCGATCTCTATCATCTGCGTAATCAGACGTAGTACTCGACTGTCTTGCTAGACTACTAGTCTGACTGACATGACACCCTGTACCAAAGCTCCGCCTCTGTGGACTCAACACTATACCATCTTGTTCTTCTTTCAACCTTTCTTTAGCATCAACTATACATATAAATAAATATAGCTTTATAAATTACAGCGCATTATAGCTAGTGTGAAATGAAACAGGGTTTAAGTGAAATAAAATGGGGTTTAACATCCTACTGTTCTACAACAACTGGATTAACGAGAGATAGAGAGAAAACCAGGAAATCAAAACCTCGCCAGTTGACTCAGTGACCTGACCTTATGGTACAGCGCACATGCGTTAACCATTCGGCCATCCAACCTCCCAAATCATTACAAAAGATTGTGAAGCATGTGATGATGTAAAAGAACTGTGTTAACAGTTAAGGGCAAAAAACAGAAAAATCTTCATGGATAAAAGATATTACCTGCTGGTTTTCTTCTTAGTAGATCTCTATCCAACTCCAGTGGGCGTTTCCTCTCTCTGATCTCACCTAGAGTTATTGGAGATCCTTCTCTCCCTTCAGGATTGAAGGACTTACACCATTTTTCTGGGTCCCAAATACCATCAGCACTAAAAAAGACAAAACACAATTATTTTATAAAATGCAAGAGCTAAGTACATATTTAATGATTTAATACTCCAATAAGAGCAAATAATAATAAAACCTCTTAAAGATACATTATGTAAGATTTAGATAAAGAACTAGCCATTCTTGCTATAATAGCTCAAATATAGATACACATTATTAATATATTTCCACATTTCTTCTTTTATACAATTTCAATAAATACAGATCTATATTTCATTTTGTGTTTTTATGGCAATGTGGTCGTATATTGCTGTCGCTACCGTCCATCATCCACAATTTCTTGTGAACACTCTACAGCTACATTTATTATCTGATTGTTTTGAAAATGGTATATGTTGTTTACAATAGTGGCTATTTAATTTCAATAATTTCCGTTTATTTTTTCTGGAGTTATAGCCCTTGATTCACTTTGGTGCTCCTTGTGAATGCTCTAACGTGTAATGCAAAGTGAATATGTTGAAAATACCATTTAAATTACTTTAATAGTTTATTTTGAGCGAAGATATAAGCCTTTGAAAGTTTGACAAGATGCTACCGATAGGACGATTTTAAAATACAATTTTTATTTAAACTTACTTATCATACAATGGCGACAAGTATGATGGACGCTTCTTAGCACCAGCACTTTCTTGGATTTCCTGAAGTTTTTCCTGAAATTTAAACAATAGATATATTTAGCACAAATTACACAACATCTTGTTCCAGACACAGAAAAATGACAAATTGAACGGAAGTACAAGAGGAAAATTTTCTTTTATTACATTTTTAATTATAATTTAAAAATCTCTAAGAAAAGCTTTCAAGAAGAGCAACCATCAACTCAACACAAACTGTCATTCGAGACTAACATATGGTTCACTTTTATTTCAAAAATTCGTTTGCATGTACATGTAGGAGTCTTTAGCAGTGGGAGGATACCAGAGGACCCAGAGAAATTCCATGAGGTTGGACAGACAACATTATTCCATGTCATTCTCAAGCGCGGAATCGAAAACACCCCACTTGAGTCAATGACATACCTTACGATCTAACGTGCACACGTTACACCTTTCGGGATATAGTTTAAATAAAAAATATCGCCACGCGATTCCAATCAGCCTGAAGATTTGAATACGAACCCAGGATAACCAGGTGTTCATAGCCACTCTTATCCTTTATATTAAATAATACTTTACCCGATTGTATTGGTATTGGGGCATTGGACCAGGTGTATCCTTTCTCATGGGTTCCGATCTAACTTCATCATCTACACTACCACTACCTGTACTATCTCTACCAGACTCACGACCACCACCATCACGATCCATTCTGAAATACATAAACATAACCTTTTTATTGTAAAACTCTCGGAGAGAGAAATGAGGCTTAAAGTTAAACAAACATAATGTAAGAGCTAAATCTGTCTATTGCACCTCTTTCTTTAGGCCTGAAATTTTTTCTAAACTATTAGACATTAATTAACTTAAAGATACATTATGTAAGATTTAGATAAAGAACTAGCCATTCTTGCTATAATAGTTCGAAAGTAGATGATGTAAAATGAATAATTTGAAAATTTCATTCAAATTACTCTATTGCAAGCGAAGATATTAGCCTTTGAAGGTTTGACAGACGTGTGCAATAATTTCAACCACCGTACTGGTTGATCGCAGCTAAGTCTCGGTCCTCCATATTTGATTAAATCAAAGTATCGCTGAACCATTCTAATCTATTTAATATCGGAGAAATCTGATGCCATCGAGAGTTGATTAAGGCCTGGATCAGTTAAAGAAAGACCGGCAATAGGCAGATTTAGCTCTTGCATAATGCATGTTTAACTTATCCAGACCATGATTAACTCTCGATGTCATCACTAGCCTGTGATATTTAGCGGATTGGAATACGTTTTTTGAAAGATAATTAAAATGGATAATCGAGACTTTATTTTTATCGTACCGACTTCAGTAATGATGATCAAGGCTAGTCTAAAATTCAAAAGCTGTCAACTTTTTTATCTAATCTCACATAATGCCCCTTTAATCCATGCTAAAACTGACTCAAATTGATTATATCACATTTAAAGACGTATAGTCGTTCTTGCTACATGTATAAATATTGAAAATCTCAGTCAAATTACTTTATTCTGAACAAAATTATCAGTGTAGGTTTGGCCAGATAATCTTTATTGTCAAGTACCATTGCTACAATAATACATGTAAACAAATTCTTGATTATCAATTTTAATGTTCGTTAGTGTTACATGTAAATGGTTCAGATGTTCTAATTCATTTAGTCTCTGGTCTAGAGGTTTGATTATTTGCTTGTCATATGAACAAATGGGTAATTAATAATTTATATAACATTTGAAACAAAATAAAAGACGTGCGTTAGGCAGATTTAGCACTTGCATAATGATCATTAATTAAAGTGGCAAAGTCTAATTCATTTAGTCTCTGGTCTAGAGGTTTGATTATTTGCTTGTCATATGAACAAATGGGTAATTAATAATTTATATAACATTTGAAACAAAATAAAAGACGTGCGTTAGGCAGATTTAGAACTTGCATAATGATCATTAATTAAAGTGGCAAAGTCTCTAACTCAACAAGATATCATTCGATATCGTCGACATTGAAAACACAAATTATATGTCAAGTTAAATCAACATTGATGTTATGATCGAATGTAAATCAGTTTATATACATTCATATTACGTTATTATTATATGCGTTGCGACCCATTTGTGTCAATTTCAAGGCACCAAATATTAGTCGTTTAGCTCCTTTAAAGACAAAATAAAAATGTCAAAGTTTGATAATCTAACAGTTAGGGAGGAATGTCAATAGATTTCAGAAAAAATCCTTTTATCCAAACTTGCAATTGTGAAATTCTCAATTCATTATATCTTAACAGAATTGAATCTATTCGAACTGATATTCCTAAGCGATAAAACTTTTGGAATACTGTGGTTCACAAGACATTAACAATCCTTACGATCAGAGGCTTCAACAAAACTTCCACTGTTCAAACACACCTCGTGCAATATGTTCAATAAAAGAGAACATTTAAATTAGGCGTTAAAAATCAATCAATGAAATTAACCGTTTCGTTATTGATCACTATGGTCACCATCTATTATGATTATAGGCTATTCTTAATACAATTGGGGAACGGAAAGTTTTACTTTTAGAAGACTGATGACAGAATTAACACAGTTATATTGGAAAACAATCACTGGTTTATTATACACATGCTACACTGTTTATCTATATGTATATATAATTGTAGTGTATCCAAGTTCTTTGTCAGTAAATATGATTCACTACAATCACACACACTTTTCTCAGAAAAGTATTTATCGGGTGGTTATTTCCAATAAAAGTATGGCAATTTTGGTACATGTATATGGAAAGTAGAAATATCCAATCTTACTAGAAAAATACGGGATTCCCTGAAAAAACACTCATGCAGCGCATACAGGACAAAAATGTACGGGTTACCCTAATTGACAGCCCGATGATTAGGAGTGTTTGCACGCGTGACGTCAAAGGTTGCCCGCGGAGATTGAGCGTTTGATGTACATGTTGATAAACTTTATGAAGAGTTAGACGTACAACACTTTCTAAGATAAAAATCGTGGAAAAAAACGTGGGCAGTGGATAATCCGCAGGAGGGGGGAGGGGGCATATTTTACTGGGTTAAACTAAAACATCACACCAATACAATGTTTATCATGTTTAAGTCAGGGGGTGCCGTATTCATATTTTTTTCATGACTTTTACATATCGAATGTAACACGACAAAGAGAGTTTAGTAGGGGAATTTTTATGAGGAGGATCCAAATGAGACAAAACTTGATCACATAACTTTAGTTTATGAGGATGCATATTTGACAATCACCTTGTTAACTACAATATACACATTGACATTTACAAGAAAGTTGTATAGATATTTAAAGTATTTTCTACATTTTGTGTATTATAAATGGATTTCCAAAAGTAAACATAAGTGTTTGTGTTTTAATTTGTACATTGTTTTATACAGATAGAATCTTAACTAATCCTAATAATTGTTGTAAATAAATAGGAGTTAGGGCCTACTATGTAAATTTTTGGGGGGTCCAAGTATATTCAGACCCCCTCCCCCCAGAAAAACAATTGAGGGGGGCGAATCCCCCCGGCCTCCCCCCCCCCCATGTGTGACACCCATGGACACAAACATGACCTTGTTTGATCGATTTTTTATAGCCAGGTATTCCTTGACAATTGCAATGTTTTGAGAAGGATTTGAAGCAAAATTATGATAAATTAATTAGTTTGAATATGTTTTTAGTCCAAATATATCATCAAATCACCCAGTTTGTATGAGGGAATGTATTTTTAAATGCCACTAAAGGATTAGACTGATGACCTGGCGATCGTGCCCTATGTAGGCTAATAAGATTAAAAACAGAAATTTTTTCCATTTATTTGATTGGTTATAACTCCATTAAGATCTGATGACGTGTTCTTGAAAAGTGCATTCTGGGACTGTGATGACAGCATTGATTAGAGAGAGAGAGAGAAATGGGATTTAACGTCCACTCGACACAAACTAGGTCATTTCGGGACTAACATGGTTTAATTTTATTTACATAATTCGCTTGCGCTTAGGGGTCTTTAGCAGTGGGAGGAAACCGGAGGACCTGGAGAAAACCCACGAGGTTGGACAGGCGACCCTATTCCTTGTCACGTACAACCGGGGATTCGAAACCACGCCAGTCGACTCAATGACAGACTTTATGATACAGCGCATGCACGCTAACCATTCAGCCATCCAACCCCCCAGCATTGATTAGACATTCAATCAAATGTATTTCAAAATATTTCGTGGAATTTTCAATATCCTAGGTCCCAAAGCATCAACCAACCAGAAAATGCTCATCTTCGAACTCCATCACCTAATGAACGCCTACACCAAGTTTGAACATTCTACCTCAATTAGAAGGAGAGTTATTGTGTTCCAAAGTATTGACCAATCAAATTGCTTAATGCTCATAATCGAACTTAGTCAAGGTATTGATGTAATGAAACTATACTATACACTAAGTTTCATCACTCTCACTTAATTAGAACTAAAGTTATTGTGTCCCAAAGCATCAATCAAATTGCTTATCTCTGCTTACCCTCAGCAGAAAATGCTCATCTTCGAACTCCATTAAGGAATTCACCTACCCTACATGTAATAAACACCAAGTTTGAACATTCTAGCTCAATTAGAAAGTTATAGTGTCCCAAAAAGTGTGACAGACCAATTTAGTAACCTACTTTCTTTGAAAGGCAGGGAACAAAAAAATAGTATGACATCAATTGCTATCTTGATTAGATCAAAATATTATGATCTAGGCATAAACACTTAAGATAATCTTGCATTGTGTCACTATTACATAAGAAAATATCTCATGTTGAGCCTCAGGTGAACTAGTGACCTATTAAAGTAATCTTATCTCATATGGTTTCTCTGACAACAGGTTATTACTCTTTATTTCAAGCATAATTACATGTAGGTCAAATTCAAAATGCACTTAAATCTCACATTAAATTAATATTTAAAAAATCAAAGTGCCAACACTATCTGGCCAGCAGTCGTTGTTGTTTGTATTTTAGAGGAGAGCTGAAAAAAGCTCCTATTAATTAATAAATTGAAAAAAATCACTTTCCTAAAAAAAATAATCTTTCAGAGGCATTTAATAACTGGATAGAGCAATACACAAAAACTGTACGGTATTGGCTTGATAAGGTCGCCCAAATAAATTAAGTAGCTGTTTTTCCATAAGTAGGGTGGCCCATGTACTCACAGAAATACAGTCCACCGCTGATAGTTCGAGACTACCACTGAAGCGTGCACATTCGCCGTGCCGAGACCAACTTTCTGACAGTTTGATACTATAAATAGCCATGGCACGTGCAATTCTCTACAAATCTATCAACTATTACAGCCGTAAAAAATTTATTGTTGACGATTTTGGATAGCAGTTAAATTAAGCTTCTTGGTTATTACAGCAGATTTAGAAATTACGTTCGTTTCATTTTTTAAATCGCTTTATCATTAACTGTACCGTTAAGAGCGGCATCTTTTGGTTTAGTACAAATAATATATCTGAATCACTCGGGTTAGGCAGGAACATGATACTAGCAGTAGTTTCAGTTTACTTTTACAAGCTTCTTAAAACGATTGTTGAGCTACCTAACGTGCTTATTTCTAAATTCAATTTCTTGTTCTAGCTTTCTGTTACGTTTCGTAAAAAAGTAGTCTTGATTATCCCGACCTGTCAATCAGACGTAGAATGG